ATCGGTCTGGCAGCAACTGATGTGCATGGACATGGTGCATCAAGACTGCACTTGAAGCAGGCAGTGGCGGGTGGGAGCACCTCTGGATGATCGCGGAGGCACCGCCGAAGTCGTTGTAGATGCAGCAGAGCCTGCGAGATCCAGATAGCAACATTATAACATGCATCGATCATGCTATGCAGGCTAAACGGATGCATGATGGCAGACTCGAACAGCACATGTGCATCGGCTGAACATTTCATCACTGCAACCGTGAGCGGTGCATCCACTGCATGCGAGCTTCGACGGCTACACAATTCCGTGTGACCCAGGCACAGCAGCTTCACCATGCAAGGCAGTGCTCGCATCAAAGCATATGTACATATCGCAGTTGTACGTAGTCTATTACTCAGCCTGGGTCCACTCGCCTACTGATACGGGCCATGCCGCATCGATGTAAAATGCAATACAGCTTGCACCCGAGCTCGGCGCTTTCTTGATCTGGCCATGGTATTATAGAATACATCCATCGGGCGAGAACAGGTGCACGGCCCCATATATAAACAATATAGCATTATATATTTTTAAAGTGCAGGATAACTACAGAAATAGAGGCAACACTCCGGGGCCCGTATCCATATCTCGCTACACCCTTATAAACTACACTAGCATGTTGAAGCCAAGCTTGAGCTCTTAGGCAAAACTCGGTCTGGGCTCAGGCCATCATCACATCAGCTGTGATCCGCAATGTCCATCTCCCAGAGCTGGCGCTCGGGGATTTCGGCATGAACCTGAATACGATTGCCATGTCATGCTAACCATCGATCCCATGCTGCACTCGCTGATCTACTTATACAACATCATGTGCAAGCTCGGGTGCCCTCCAGATCATGGCCCGGCGGTAGCCTTAGGCGGCCAACCAGCCATGAACTTGGCCATCTTCCACCTTGCATTGTACAACATGGATATGGGTGTACCATGCATGCTAGACTACAATGCAACCCAGACACGTATATATGTTAATTAGATAGCACGTGCTAGCGGTACAATTATACAATGCACATGTATATCGATCGAACCTAATATATTAGCCCATGCATCCTCATCGGAATCGTGATCTCGGCAACGGGCCCCGATTTCAAATCTCAATTGCAATCTCCCAGACAACCTGCAATATAGCCAGTTATTACAAATATTGTAGTGTACACTATATTGCATGCAAGCTACCCTTCACTGATGCCGAACCGGTGCCACGGTATCGTGGCACCCCCTTTCATGTCAGGCTTCAGCTCGCCGTTGGCGCAATTGTTGATCACTTTCTTGACATAGAAGCTGCGGGCGATAAGGATGATCCCAATGCCATATGCTGTGCATGCAGGGTCGTCCACGTACACAGTGAAGCTCCTTATTTAATGAGATGGACACTCGCCATGTATCGTACCATGATCATGAATGAAATGCAAAGCCACTGCATCATTAATGAGGCGAGCTGCTGATTGAGGATCTCGGCGGGCACATCGAGGCCTGGAACCTTTGCATCCCTCAGGGTTTCCAGGGCAGCCTTCGCCTTCCCCATCTTGCGAGGCGACTGCCTTTTCGGCTCGTGCTTAACCTTAAGCTTCTTATTCCCGATCGCACCGGCAGGCTTGTCCTTGGAGCCCCCTGCACCTGAGCTCTTGAGCAGCTTACTCACACGGGCCTTTCGAGGCTTCGGCGCCTCTTCCTCGGCTTCGGCCGACTCCCCAGCGGCCGGCTCTGCTGGGGCCGGCTCCACCTGCATCTGGCGGCCACGTCCTTGGCCACGTCCCCGCCCTCGGCCTCGCGATCGCATCCTCTTCGCAAGCTTCTTGCTCTCGGCATCATGTGCAGCCTGAGATGATCGAAGTTCTTACCCCCCCAAGCTTTCGACAATGCACTCGGATGTGTACCACATGTGTAGCCATGGAACTTCTCTGATGGTAGTTCTGACGTGATCTTGCATCGCTGAGACGTGGTCGAAACGGTTGTGCCGTACATTCTCAATCGAATTCAGTTCGAACTCCCGAGGTGTCGGATCCCTGAGCGATATGGAAATCAAAGGACCACGATCCTGATCAATGTAGCTGCAGACTGCTATGCTTCAAAACCCCAGTTGAGCAATGATCGTGAGAATTATTATGGTCTGGAGTCTGGATTCTTTGGTAGCAAATCCAGGAGCTGCTTCATCCTCGGTCGGCTCTGGCTGCTGGAGGCTGGCCACGGGCTCCGGAATTGCCTGTGATCGCTTGCTTTGTATAAACTGATAGATCGTTCAAGGCTAGTTGTAGTTAACATGGCCATGGTGACACGTATGCATTGTACATGAATGCCGATCCCCCAAAATCGCGGAAAGCCCTAGCTATCATGATGCAGCAGCTCGTCCAAATCACTTTAAATGCTAGCCTTGCAAGCATCGGTCTAGAATAATCGGCAGAGGAGCTTGCTCGGCCTCGATCATGTTGTCATCGGGCTTGTCGGGGATCCCGGGCTCCCCAGCTGCTGCCTTGGATATGGTTCGGGTTGGTGAAGCTTCCAATTCTATGAACCCCACAATCGGATTGCAATTTAGTCTGGGCACGGGGTACCTGGCCAACACCTGTGCTCCCCTCACCACAAGCTTCCTTGGCGAAAGCATCGCCGCAAGCCGGTCCGCCTCCTCCAGGACCTGGTCCGGCTCCTCCGTCTCCTGATCTCGCTCGGCCGGCGCCGTGTCCTTCGAAGTGGGGCTTGCAGTGCAAATAAAGTTGCAAACCGGTATGCTACTTATCACCTGCATTGCTTGCCCGGCTAGCTGATGTTTCACGTGAGACTTGACTCGATCAAGGGCAAATAGCACTCCATGATGCTGCAAATACGACTCCGAATGACGAGCAGTATATGCCAAGCCTCGGTCGTGTCGTCGCCATCGGGCAGCTCCTGCTTGGTTCGCAAAAGCTTCTTCAGCACATCCACTTTCTGGCTCCTGCAGTAGATCATCTGCTGTGGCAATGGATGCCCCGTTAACTTGCAATATTAAATAGGCATGCATGCATAACCCCAACCCCTGCAAGTGTGGCTCCTGGCACCCTCAGATTTCCGAATGATCTTGTTCAAATGTGTAAGCATGGAGCTTCCACACGGCCCCATTCCTCGGTTGATTAGGTTGTGAGCAATACGGTGCTTTAAGAAGGATCTCCGGATTTCTATTGATTGCAAACGAGGGTCCCTACACTTGCCCTTTCCTCCTCGCTGGTGGTAGAGGCATTCGCCGTGGATATTCAACGAGACGCTTAAAAGAAGGAACGCTGTTTCGTACTCGGCCAGCGCCGGAAACTTGTCCGTTGCGGCCAAAATTACATACTCCCGAACGAGTGTGTAATTATACTCCAGGTCGCTGTTGTACACCTCGGATATACCACGATCTAGCTATTCGGCCCAACTAGTCTACCCAGCAACTTTCAGAGTGCAACACATGATCATTGCAATGCTAGTGGCTGCCGCCTTCTCCCGAGCCTCCCATTGCACGAATGACCGTTCCTTGCAATGCAGATGCCCTGTATCTTGCTCCGGAAACAATCCCCTGCACATGTGTGTGTTTTATGCAAGTCGCCAGCGAAGTCGGCACACTCATGATATCGGCAATCTGAGACTTCAAAGTCGGATACAGCGCATCGTGGATCTCCTGGGCTTCGGCCTCGAATGGATGCATAATCATGGCATGCGAAGTACGGTGTACATGACTTGGAAATATACATGTTATGCAATCTGAATGCAGCGAAGCACTGTGATGTGAATCGTCATGGGCTGCTTCAGCGTCTTGATCACACCCGCCTTCTTAGCACCGGCACCGGGGGCCATGGCCACATCATGATCATCGGCAGCTGCCATCCCTAAATCAATGCCAGTGCTATGCTAGCTGTGCCGTGCATCGTGCAAGAATGCCAGCAATGTGCATGCTCCCATGAGCCCCAAAATCTGGCGATCGAGATTCTGCATGTCAAACAACTGCACAGCACTGTTGACATGCATGGTAATCCTGCTGTGCATGCAACACAGTCAATCAGCAGAGAGGGGAGGGCGGACCTTCGAAGGATTCCCATCGCTTCGAAAAGTAGGCCGACTGCCGTAGAAGGCCCATTGAGGGCAACAGCCGTGTATCATAATGTGTAGCCCTAGCTACAGCTATATATAACAAAATACCTATTGGTACACATTTGAGCTTGATCCTAAAAACCCGATATGTAGACATATTTAGTTGGGTCATATGTACCCATATACCGGGTATGTATTATAAGCTCGGGTATAGGATCGGGGAATACATGTGCGTATGCCGATCATGCATGCTTGTCTGAGCAGCTCGGACAAAATCTGCTGTTGCTTCTGCTGCCGACAACCGAACACCCGATATTTATTGATATTTGAGGCCTCTGGCCAAAGACCCTAAATACAAATTAAACCGTCACAAACCCTTCTGGCAAAGCATTGCGGAGAGTATATGATTATCGTGTACTCAGACCCATGGGGTAAGGCTAGTTGGAGCTACTTCTAATCCTGAGTAAGTCATGTATAGCCCGCACTATGATAAGGAACATTGATTAGTAAAGTTCTTCTGGTCTAACAGTTCAAATACCAGCTCCAGGGAACTTTCCTGGACGGTCCAAACCTGTCCGTAGTCCGTAAACCTTAGAATCCACCTCTCGAAAAATGTGAAGCCTACGCAACTCCTGCAGCCCTATAAAGCCCACCTTAAACCCAAAACCCTGAAGAACTCTTGTTTGCTACCCAAAGCACCTTAAACCCTAAACCCAGAAGAACTCTTGTTTGCTAGTCGCCCCCAGGGTTGTTTGAGTTTCCGAAAGGAACGTCCGACTTTGATGAGAGCTCACTGTGGGGACAAACGGTTCCTCCCATCGAGCACTTCGAATTCAGGAAACACTCCGTACCTCATATGATGGAAGCTTCCGAAAACAGTTCCTTTGAACGAAGGTTCATTGAAGCTTGGTCTACAGATCTGCTGTTCTGAGGTACGCGCCCGCAGCGCTGCCAGCTACTAGCTCCTTCTCGACTGGACCTTAGAGGTTGAGGGACGGCTGGTGTCGGTGTTTTGTTGCGAGTTCAGTGCACTGCAGTGTCCTGTGGGGGCTAGCGCGTCCACAGAGTTGGCGTTTACCCAAGGGGTTTTGAAGGGTCCTCCTGCATCCATTGACCAGTGCATGTTGTCGAGGTCGCGAGGTTTAAACCCCTACTAAACATATGGGAGTTTCCGAAAATTCGGGGACCTTATTTAAGGGTCCTTATAATAAGGATCCTACTATTTAGGGTACTATATTAGGGTCCCCTATTTTCGGAAACTCCCATATCAGGCTCGAGACCAGCACTCCGGCCCCAGACTGAAAAGAGCCAGCGCTCAAGCTCTCTTGGGCCGCTTGAACTGGGTTTAGGGTTTGTTGTTTAGGGTTTAGGGTTTCGATTCCTTAGACTCTGAGCTGTAAGATCCTACAGACCTCTCACCTCTCATGCAAACCCACGAAACCACCGGTCGGCAGCTGGGTCTGGTTTACACAGAAGAACTATCTCTGCTCTTTGCTTCTACCCCTACCCGGCTCCCCGAAACCATCCCTTCCCCTCAATGTCAATGTATCCGGATGCAAAGAATCTGAAAACCTCCAACGAGGTACGCGCCTGCAGTGCCGGCTGCGGGCTCCTTCTCGTCGGGGCGCCTTGAGGGTCCCCTTGACTGGGTTCTTGTTAAGAAAGTTACCATTATAGGGATCCATAGTAAATAATAGGGTTTCTTTCTCATGGTAACTTACATGAAATCCCTTAACGAGAACCCAGTTGACCCTCCAATTTACTGTTCCGGGTTGAGGGTGTTGGTTTTAAATAGAGACTGCGAAGCTACTAAATCAAGGAACCTATTTGAGGATTGAGGATGCCTTGTGTTGAAAGGTATATGTATATTCCTCGATTAAGGGGCTTTGTCGAGTTGTTGTTGTTGATGCTTCTTTGAACAAACAGTGTCCTTTGCCCAGAGGGTCCATATAATATCGACTACGTACCAGTGCGGAATTATGTCCCCAAAACGAACCACAATAAGGATGGTCTTTGGGGACTTAAATCCTTAATAGTAGTATATACGGACCCTCTATTAGTAAGCAAGCTAAGCAATCGTAACAGGCTCTAGACGTAGGGGTCTAGGCCTGGACCTAGACCCTTACATGTAGTACTGTACTTTTTTTGGATGGCTTATTTACAGTTAGGACCCTACAGTGACCCTAGAATTAGAAACTTAGGTAACCGCACAAACCACTGCGTTCAAGGGTCTAGGTACTCTGAGGATGACGCTTCGGGCGACCGAATGGGCGCTGCTTTCCTGTTGCTTTGGGATTTTGAGATGGAAGGTTCCGACTGCAGCATTACAAGTTGAAAGATCCTGAACCCCCCAAACCCTTTCCCTAAAGAGTCCAAGTAGTCCTCACTTACGGTTTTTTGGTAGCCAGAAAGGAACCAAATTTCTAGACTGGTGAGTACTTGGACCCTCAGGGTGTGTTCAATCTGCAACATGCTTGTTGTGATGCGGGTCCACGGGACCTTTTCCGCAGGACGGTGGACACGGTTTCCAAAGTTGTTCCGCGCAAAGACAACTAACTCAAGGAGCCCTTCAGCGCGAAGGAGGAAGATTCGGCAGTGCATCGGTACACCTTGTTCTTCGCACATGGGACCAACACTGCAGCTGCCGAAGGAATCATGAACAGCTGTTACCTTGCCCCAGCTACTCTTGCACATGGACCAGGAGCAGTGGGACACTACAGTGAGACCACTAACTGGTCGGACGAAGACAGCTTACAGTAGATTTTCGATCGTGTAGTGCACTCGGGCAAGTGGCAGTGTCCATGGCACATACAAACTTTTGGACTTTTCGGGTTTGAGTTTCCCAGGTTTATGCCTTGGAGAAGTGTTTTCTGAAGGTGGTTAGCATCTGGAGCCCAAACTAAACCACGCCGCTTAAGCTTCCCAGAGACTCCAATATCCTTTAATTCAGGAATATGAATTAAATTATAGTAGGATCCCTAATATGATTTCAGGTGTCTTCCTTAATTAAAGGATATTGGAGTCGCTGGGTTCCAATTCCCGCTTTGTCCGAGGTATGTGCCGGCAGCAGTGCCAGCGACGAGCTCCTTCTCGCCGGGGGCTCAGGCAAGCAGACGAAACCCAGAGGGTCCCTATACACTACCATTATGGAATTAGGTCCGAAAAGACCATCCTTATTGTGGTTTTGGGGCCCTAATTCCATAATGGTAGTGTCTATGGACCCTCTGGGAAACTGAACCCCGAAAGCTACGCAAAATCACGGCCAAGGCTGCCTAAATCTGCATACCCTAGATTTGCGCAACCCCGTGTCGGGGCTACTTAGCACCCACTCTAATCTTGAGTTTGGGGTTTTTTGGGGGTCAAGAGACTTTCAACGAGGCGGCTGAAGTTGGCAGGTACTTGGAAGGGCAGGGGACTTAGTAAATGGAGTTACCCCAGTTATAACCCTACTTATAACCTACTTACTAAGTCCCCTGCCCTTCCAAGCTGTAGGGCTTGAACTTCGTGGTGTAGAGTGGAGGGAACAGGGTTTCTTGCTCGAGGTCTCCATTATGGCTACCCTAAGGCCCCAAAGTAGTTCCTTTTTGGGGTTCATATCTAGAATCCTACAAGGTAATCCCCCAAAAAGGAACTACTTTGGGGCCTATGGATAGCCCAACCCCGGAAACCCTAAACCTCAATCTAGGCTGGCTTCTTGAAATATTTTTGATACCCCTTTATGGTCTGAAGCACCTCTTCATATGGTATAAGAATAATCCAGGGTTTGGGGCTGAGGTATGTGCCAGCAGTGGCGGGTACAAGCTCATTTTCGCCTGGAGCTTAGGGATGTGAGGTGGGCTTGAGCTGTCGTCGTTTAGAGTTGAGGGTTTAGGGTTCAGGGTTGGGGAGATACAGCCTAGGAGATTGTGATTTCAGGTTCACGGATTTGGGATCAGGGTTTAGGAACTAGAGTTGCAAGCAGCTGAACTTCGGGGCCGAATTGGGTTTAGGTTAGAAGCTGCCCCCATCCTGTAATTGTGACTATAAGGATTATTTTAGGGCCCTGTTATATTCCTATTATACCACTATTACAGGGTGGGGGCCCCTTCTAAGGTTTAGGGTTCTGGGATTGACAGATGAAGAGCCCAAACTTCGATTCCTCTGCTTTCCCGTTAATATTTGACGAAGATGCAGCAGGAGCTAAGCCCAAAAGAATCCTATTAGGCATCTTTGCACCATCTCCTCCAGCTTGAGATCGATGTGGAAGTTCCTTCAACCCTTTCGATTATGCATGCTATGTTAGAGGTTCCTCACTAAAATAACTATGGTATTCTATTTAGATTTTTTATGCATATATATATATATATATACACACCCCAAAACCCTATTCTATACAAAAAATACGGCCCCTAATCCTTCCGATTTCGGGCTGTTGCTTCGGGCAATAGGGGAGTTCAGCCTCTTAGGGTGTAGATGGGTTGCGACCTGGTGCAGTTTAGGCAGAGTTCCCGACGATGCAACCAAACTGTTGCCAGATCTATGCAGAAAGTACGTAAACCCTAAACCCTAAACTATACCCTCAACCCTGAACCCCAAATGCTCAAACCCTAAACCCCAAACTCTACAACCCTACTCCCTATGGTCTTGCTCGCTGAGGTTGAGCCAGCCAGTGCGGTCCACGTCCTTTGAGACGCCAGCTCCTCAGTTTGTCGTGTTGCTGTCTGCTTAAAGGAGGTTTCTAAACCCTAAACCCTAAACCCTCAACGGTAAGGATCATGGGACTCAGTAAATCAAAGATCTCCTGAAGAATCACGGGATTTAGTAGTAATTGGGGTTATAAGTAAGGTAGCTACTTATAGTCCCAATAAAGGTACTTACAACCCCTACTTCCTAAGTCCCACAATCCTCCAAGCAACTCCCAGCAATCCTTCTAGAACTCCGTCTAAAACCCGTATAGAATCCGACTGAAAGTGCTGAACGCCTCACCCCACAACCATGGGCTGTGAAAGGTACCCGGCATCCATACCGCCAATGGCCGCGGGGGCCTCGCTGGGTGGCCTGCGCCCTGGTTTGCCTGGGTTGGGGGTGCAGATCTGTCACATATATGATGTGTATGATTACCCAAAGGCCCCAAAGTAGTTCCTTTTTGGGGTTCATATATAGAATCCTAAAAAGTAATCCCAAAAAGGAACTACTTTGGGGCCTCTGGGTATACACACAGACAGATCTGTGCCCGCATGGTTGTGCGTGCTTATCTTGTGTGTGCGTGTGTAAGTTCTTAAGCGTTTGGATGCTTCATTAGGGGCGGAGGGGTGGGGGGCTGCAAAAGGAAGTCTGTGGGGCTTCATGAGTGTAGGATTTCAGGTTTAGGGTTTAAGGAAGTGCTCAGATTTTAGCCCATCCTCACCAAACATGCTTATGCTTGTGCCCAGAGGTGCAAGAGATCCTAGCACCAGACTATTGGGGGCCTTGAATTAACGAAGCGGAAAGCGATCCTAACTTTTCCAGGAGCTCCATGTCTCAAGTTTAGGGTTTTACGGCTTTAAGGGTTTAGGGGCGTAGGGGTGTAGGGTTTAGGGGTGTAGGGTTTAGGGGTTCAGGGGTTTAGGGCTTACCGATAGGTGCATGAGTCATGAGGGTCTTGGCGTGGTAGCCCAAGCCTCAAAGTCAAGACCCAACACCCAACTAATATAGGGGCCCAAATAATTACGAATATTGTTTTGGGGGGTTCCATATTATAACTATAATATACGGGCCCCAAAACCCTATTCAAATTATTAAGGCCCTATAGTACAGTATCCTTATAGATTCCTTGTACTAGCCATTATAGCCCCCTTTTAAGGAGCCCTACTCTAATTGTTAAGGGCCTTTGCTAGCACGAGGCTCTTTCGTTGCCCCAGCTGGGCCAGCCACAGGGCCTGGTCCCTGGCTCTTTCTTTTGTTCTGAGCTTGTTGAGGTTTTAGGGTTTAGGGTTGAGGAAAAAGGGTTAAGGGTTCAGGTTTAAGGGTTTAGGGTTTAGGTGAAAGGTTATAGGATCCCGTATAGGTTTTTGGGTCTAGGGTTTAGGGTTTAGGGGTTTTGGTTTTAGGGTTTAGGGTATAGGTTTTTGGGTGTAGGGTTTAGGTTTTAGGGGTTTAGGTTTTAGGGTTTAGGGTATAGGTTTTTAGGGTTTAGGTTTTAGGGTCTAGGGTTTCGGGTTTAGGTTTTAGGGTTTAGGGTTGGCTTTTTGTTCCGGCGTTCTGTTGGTTTCTGTGGTTGGTCTCCATAGCATGATCGTCTCCATTCGAGTTCCCTTTGTGGGTTATATTATGTACCAATTTTTTGGTCAGGATCCTATACTGTAATTTTGGTTATCCCAAACGGAGCCGGAATGGAGACTATAGGTAGAGGGCTTAAGGCTGGAATTCCCTAAACCCTCAACCCTAAACCCTACTATAGAAGGCTTTAGGCTGGGCTTAGGGGGGTTGGTTGAAGGTTCGCCTTGCCGGCCTTGATTCCGGTTTTGGCCTTAGGAGAAAAAAGTGAAGTTGGTTTGGTGCGGGTAGTCGCATCTGAGCCGGGGATGATGCACAGCCTATGTTCCAGTGCGGATAGTGCCGAGTAGATTGCATTTGCTTCCTGTTTCGACCAGAAGTGGCTTGCAGATAATACCAAGCTTGGCAAGTCTGTTGTTCCTTGAAGCTGTTCATTGTCAGTAACTAGACTGACTGCCTGGCTCCCTTCACACTTCACTGAATTGGCATTTCCTGGTGTCCGTGCCTGAGTTAATAAAGATAAATGAGGATTCCTTTATCGGAGCCTACCATTTTTGAAGCACTTGCGGACTTATGCCCCAGGTTCGAAAGGCTCGACCTCACATTCGCGTGTAAGCTTCGTATTTAGAACGCCGTCGTCATCCCGCTTTTTACACACGGTCTCGAATCACGAGCACTGACCACCGGAGACTGCAACAGACTGGAAGCATTCAATTCGCAGTGCCTGCACAGATTCTGCACATCAAGAGCACGCCCTACACACAGGTATTGCGGCCAACCGCATACCCGTACACCAATCAAGAAACCCGCACCCTGACGCGACCCCGTCCGAATAACGTTGTTTCGCACATACTTTTCAACACAGAGGAGGTGCGGTAGGTGCAGGCCTACGGCTCGGTAGGAGGCGAGTCCACTTGTCAAAACAGCCCAAAGGGTCCTATGTACTGTTATGGGGAATACTTCCCCAAATAATTTTCCAAATATAGAAACCTTACGTTCTACCATACCGGTACTTTGGACCCTTTGAGCAGTGCACTGGAGTTACCTGGCACCGGCTTTTAAAGCCCTCGAGGCCCCCTTCTTCTCACAGCCCTACCTTCCCTTACTCATAATATCAACAAGCTCACGGACCAACTGTAGACCGCCTTTTTTGGAGTATCCTTGTGAAGCTGTCCACGTGCAAGAAACTCGTCACGGCTAACTCCGATTCTGTTACTTCACAGACTTGAGATCGCGTGGAGTCGCTGAGCGAGACTAGCGCAGGGCCGCCCAAAAAACTCCCGACCCTCCAAGAACAGCTTTATTTATAAACTACTTACAACACCCTGAAAACAAAAAACCTATCAGAGATTTGGTTCTCTCTACTGATCGAACATCTGATATTAGTTTTGGGCCACATCGCGTAAGTTCATACTTGCAGTACCACATGTAACGATCTCAACAGTTCTGAAGCTCTTACATCCTGAAGCCTTAATATTTCGAACCTTGGGATTGCCTGTTAACCTCAAAGTCGAAACCCCCACCGATGAAGGATGCCACCTTAAAGTTCAGGGTTGTCTTCATTAAGGCACCCTAAACCCTTAAAACCCCAAAGCTACCCTAAACCCTAAACCCCTAAAACTACCCTGAACCCTAAACCACTAAAGCTACCCTAAACCCTATAAACCCTAAACCTCCAGATCCTGCATACCCATTCGGGAACCCCGAGGAGCTACGTGCCCCCGCCGCTGGTGGACGCTGCGACCGGCTCCTTCGTTCCCCCGGTGGCGACGAGCGGGAGTCGGGCGCCCAGATTTGGGAGTTTCCGAAAATAGGGGACCCTACTTAAAGGATCCTGGGACTTAGTAAATAGGTTATAAGTGGGGTTATTAGTCCCCTAAGTGGGGTTATCCTAATTATAACCTACTTATAACCTTACTTACTAAGTCCCATGAGCCTTCAAGTACCTATAGTCTCCATTGTAGTTCCTTTTGTTGATTAACCAAAATCTCTATTATAGGATCCTAACCATGAAACTGGTTAACCAAAAAAGGAACTACAATAGAGACTATAGGTAATTATAGTACCCTAAATAGTAGGATCCCTATTATAAGCACTCCAAAATAAGGTGCCCCAAATTTTCGGAAACTCCCATTTGACACCGCCGAAACCCCAACTCCAAACCCCCAAACCGCCAAAACGGATTGAGGGTTCAAGGTTGAGGGGAAGTTTAGGGTTTGGTGAAGTTTAGGGTTTTGGGTCTAGGGTTCCCTGAACCCGATCATAAGCCCTTTAGACCCATGACCCCATAATAAAGCCACACTGAGACCCACAAACCCTAAAAGATCGACTCTGCTCTTCCCCTGAGCCCATAGGCACGATCTTGGGTGTAGGGCTCAGGAACCCAGAGACTCCAATATCCCTTAATGAAGGAGTATGAATCAAATCATATTGGGGATCCTACTATAGTTTAAGGCATATTCCTTAATTAAGGGATATTGGAGTCTCTGGGAAGTATCACCATGTCGCTTGCCGCACAAGAGGCTGAATGGACCAATATAGCAGCATAATAAACAGACTGGGGGTCTCGGGCGTACTATAAAAGGGTTGTACAGGGGGCCTTAAGGAATACTATTCCTAAAGTAGACACGTGGGGTTACGACACTACGTGAGAGGGCAAAGTGCCTCCTGTTTGCAGCTTTCGAGCTTTGAGTTCGGAGAGGGTTCGGTTCCGCTGCTGATCTCGGTCGCAGACATCGGCGTGTGGAGACATGAAGACAGGACCCGTACCGAGTTCCGAGAAAGCCCAGAAAATCGAGACCCATGGGTACTTGAATTAAGTACAGTTGGAGCTATGCTACTACAGGGAGAAGTAGATACAACCCCACCCAAGCTACTTAAGACAGTACGTGAAGCCCCGGAACCCAAGTTATGTAAGAACCTCAGTTATGTAAGTACTGACTACCTCTGAAACTTTACACTGCGACATCGGCCTGCACCGCGCTTGTAATTCAAAACTTCTTATGAACCCTGCACCGCTTACCCAGCCGCAATCAAACTTTGACCCTCTAGCTACTGAGCCGATGGGTGCAACATCCGTGCCCGCCAACACCAAGGCTTCACCTACCCAGGCAGTCCGGTGCTTGTTTAGGGTTTAGGTGTGCTTTTGGCTAGGAGGTTGGCGGTGTATGGATGTAGGGTTTAGGGTTTAAGCTCACTAGGTTGGATCTGACTGGCCAGGGTTTACGGTCTGGAATACGGCTCAGGGTTCGTCCGATCTTCTGGGTAGATGTGACTGTCAAAATCTCAGCCCGAGTTTGCCTACTGACTCCACGTAGAAGTTCAGGGTCGGGCATTCAACTTACCTTTGGTTAGTAGGGAATGGAAGAATAGTAGTAATAGTAGTTAATTATAATTGTACCCAATTCCTCCATTCCCTACTAACCAAAGGTAAGTCAAAGGTTCATGGCCTCAAGTGCCGTGCATAGCTGGCCAGTGGAATCTCTGTGTACATCCCACTGGCGATGTTATAGGACTTTGCGCTTGCGCCTCTTGGGTCTCCACATTAAGAAGCCCAAAACTCCCTGGTTTTAGGTGTAGGGAATCGGGGAATGGATCCCTACGATAGTCCCTGCAGAGGTTCCTTAGAGTAGTCGCGTTTGCCCGCTCCCTATTAAAAGGGAGATGATTCGCTTTGGAGTTTCGGACGAATTGTTCGGTGTCCCCAGGCCTACTTGGAGGCTCGGGGATGTACATAGTAAGTAATTAGCTGTTTTTATAAGACTTGTAAGTAGCAGAACCCCAATGAGGGTACTTTTTTGGGCTATCCTTAAGCCTGTGGTATAAGATGGCAATAGCTACTTGCTCAGTCCCCTGACCCTGGGCCGACGCTCCAAGCACACTTACAGTAAACCCCATAAAGTTGTAAACCGGATTAAGGCCAAATAGTGTTGGGATTCCCTAAACATTACTCGTAACGATTGGTACGTTTCCAACTTCTGGGCTCCTACTATAGCTGTAGCCTTCCTGTCCCTGTCTTCTACAATCAAAGCGCAAGCTTGTGAAGGCTTGCCCACCGTCGGCTCGTTTGTGCCTGAGACCCAGATTCTCAGCCTGCTTCACCTGGCAGTGACGTTGAGCGCGTGATGCTGTAAGACTTACCTTTGGTTAGGGAATGGAGGAATGGGGTACAATTATATCTCCTATTACTACCATTCTTCCATTCCCTACCAAACCAAAGGTAAGAAGATGGAGGATCACCTTCTTAGTTTTTTGGAGCTTACAGTTCATTGCAGTTCAAGGTTCGGTGCTGAGTGCCGCCCATTCAGACTCAAATGCAGGGTAGTTCCGGTGCAAAGTTCACGACGTTTGGGGATCGGCACAGGCCGTAACAGCAGGTAGGAAGCCAAGCGCCTAAAGCCTGTAATCATGCCCCGGCCCTTCATGGTAGCTCTTGAACCGTCAGGGCCCGGACCTTAAAAACTAACAAAGCTTTAAGTAAAAATGAGAAAGCATGTATTGCGATTGACCCGTAGCTTCTGGGTCGAATGCGGCCCTTGCCTGTCGCTGCGGCAGGGGGATTGAGCGGAGGGGTTGTGGGGCTTGGGTTCCAAATCCTTCGGCGGGTTTTCGATTCGGATACGGGGATCCTTGTTCCTCCCGAGCCCGCTCCTATTCCTCTTTACACTTCTCCTCTGGACTTTGGCCTCTCTTCGCCCTCCGAAGGTTTGCATTGGACTTCCTTTGGACTTGGCCTGGCCTGTGGAATTCTCTTGGGCCCCGTGTTGGACTGTGTGCTGTTAGCAAGGCTTCTGCTTGTTCGGGCAGCCAGTCGGGCCGGACGGCCAGTGCTGAGGTGGTACCGCATCCTTGAATGAGCTCCGAGCTGGCTGCACTAAGGCTTGAGATCCGAGGCCTTAGGAACCTGCTTGAGAGTTTGGAACTTCGGGTGGCTGCTTTGGAGGGAGGGCGCGAGCGCGAGAGTGCTCCTTTCAGTGCTTTCAGTGATTCGGCACCTGCGACCCCGCAAAGGTCGGCTCCTGCTAGTGCACAGGGCACTCCCAACACTTGTTCGCGCGGATTCGCGGACGGATCTAGCGCCGAGGCGCCTGGGCCTCCTGCATCAGCCTTTAGGCTCGCTTTGGCACGCCGGATCGGCTCTTTCCTCCGCAGGGGCCTCGAGGGTGAATTCCGTGGGCCTTCGGGGCGCGAAGAGCTGAGTCTGAGCTCCAAGTACTACATCATCTGTAAGAGCCGTGAGGGCCAGGTCCATAATCCCCCAATTGTCACGACTTTGTTCAGCCGGGTTAAGGAGCTTTGCTTTCGGGGCCTGAACCCTCTCCCGGATACTGTTTTCGTGGGGCTCCCTTCGCAGACTGAAGTGCGAGCGTGCTTGGAGGCGGCAGGCCTCCCTTGTCCTGACTTGAGCAGCCATGGCCGAAGAGAGTGAGGGCGGTGAAGCGACTTCGGAGGAGCCTGAGGAGCTGGGCTTGCAGCATCGTCTCCTTAGTGAGGTTGGTTCGGAATTTTGCATTGGTGTCATCAGGGCTCAGCGAGAGGGCCAGGAAGTGAGTTCACAGTTGATAGGGATAGCCGAATTGGACGGATCTCTGTTGGTCGCAGTGCCCCACTCGGCTTGGAACCGAGTGGTTGCCAGGCGCCACCTTCCTGCCAAGTCCCTGACTCGAGCTACCCTTGTCGAGGTCGGTGCGGCTTCGGACGACGACCGCGCCGTGCCGCATCCAGTATGGAAGGTAAAAGTTTGGGTCGGTTTATTGAACCCAGCTTTGAACGATTCGGTTCAGATCGGCACGGAGGACGCCGGCGCCGACATGATCTTCGTGGTTGCTGGCTCAGGGGCTTCGGCGGCGGGGCCGGTCCCGGCGGTGCCGTTGGCCAGTGGTCTGTTGGCGGTTGCGGGCGAGCACTTCGCCTTTGTCTCGGCTCAGGAGGAGCCTGCGGCGAGTGTGGCAGGATCGACTGTCCCCGAGAGGCTGGACAAGGTGGAATCTGTGCTGGGCGAGCTGCGCCAGGGGCTGGATTCCCTGCTTCAGCGGCTCCCTCCTGGAGGAGCTCCGCCAGCCGAGGCCGAGGGCGATCGGGCCCGAGGCCGCCCGTCGGCTATGAAACCGAAGGTGAGCGAGGCTCCTCGTGCTCATCAGCTACCAGCAAGAGGAAGTGCGACGGCGGTCGGACCAGCTCTCCCAGGGCTGGACCCGGCAGTGGTAGAAGCGGCGAGAGCCGCTGGGGTGCCGGAGGATCAATTGCGCAGGATGTCAAAGCTGACTCAGGATGCGAGAAACTTGGCTCCGGAGCCCCGGGGCCGGGGCAACGACCCACTCGACGACGAGCCCTCCGAGGAGGAGGATCCCGGCGGCGGCGCGGGGTCGAGCGACCCTGTGAAGCAGGCGGTGGTGAAGATGAGCAGGATTCTGGATGTCCTTCACCGGGACAGGAAGGCTTCGAACCTCGAGGACGTCCTCGACAAAGCGGAGGGCGGCGACGGAGGCCAAGGAAGCTCAGGCTCTCGATCGAAGGCCGCTGCATACAATCGACTTCGGACCATGCTGGTCAAAAATCCACAGGAGATTTCGAAGTCGATAGAGGAGCTCATTGCCGAGGACTTCCTTCTGAGTCAAGGCGGGCCGGGCCAGGAGGCGGCTCGCTGTACTGTCCGGGGATGGATCGAGCATCGTTCTCTTCTTCAGAGCTTTCCGGGTCCCATCAGGAACGCGTGGTTGCTCGGCGGAATAGTCGACGCCATAAACAGTGGCGAGGTCGAAAGAGCGAAGAGCATGGCGCTCCTTGGGGTGGCAGCTTTGGATCAAGCCGCCATCGATGGCAGCTGGGTCATCGCCAGCGAGATCGGCCTCGAGAGGGCGCCGCCTTTCGGCTCCTTCTCGCGCCCCCGCGTCCTCGATACATACGAGTCGAAGCAGACAAAAATCTTAGACTCACGATGGATGAGCGTATTGATGGCCCGGCTCAAAGAGAGAGACTCGTTCCACACAGCCAAAAAGAACCTTGGGCAGCAGAGTGGCGCGCAGCCCAGCGGTGCTGGCGGCGGAGTTCCGAACACTCCTCCTTCCGGAGGCGCGGGTGCAGAGGACAAAGGTCCCCGTCAAAGAGAAGGCAAAGGCAAGGGCAAAGACAAGAAAGGGGACAAGGAGAAGTGATTCTTCAAGACGTTCCCCTCAGTGTCCAGGCGCCGTCGCCTGTTGAAATGAGCAGCAATTCTCTTGGGTTCCCTGATCCCACTTCGGTTTTAGGTCCCCGTAGGACCCCTAGCCCTAGGAGGGTGCGCTTTGCCGACTGCGCTCTGGCGCCGACGCCGGAGCCTGGCGACCTTGCCGCTCCCCGAACCCCTAAGGGCTCTTTTGGTTTAGGTCCCTTTAGGACCCCTGTAGGCTGTGCTTCGCAGGACAGCGGTGTTGCCGCTGCGGCCTCTTCGGGCCCTCTTCTTGCCGAGCCCCCTTCTAGTTCGGGTTGTAGTGCCCCTAATCCTCCGTCTTCTAGTTCGGGTTGTTGTGCCCCCTTTTGCCCTGTAGGCTGTGCTCTGCAGGCTGGCGGTGGAGCCGCCGATGCATCCTCAGCTTCCACACGTGCGGCGAGGGTTGCCCTTAGTTCGGGTTGTAGTGCCCCTAATCCCTCTTCTTCTAGGTCGGGTTGCAGTGCCCCTCCTTTGGGTTCTTCTAGGTCGGGTTGTAGTGCCCCTAATCCCTTTAGTCTGCCGTCGGCTCCGCGCGCCGAGCCTCCTCTCGCCTCTTCTGACCCTCAGGTTCTGAGTCAGCGGTCTGGTGACGAGGACGTCCCTGGGTCTCGCGCTTCTCGGGTCTCTGGTTCAGGGTTGTGGGAGGTTTGGTTCACAGCGCTTGTCGGCTCTACGTGCTCTTTGCAGTCTTTCTTTTGTACCCTCCGTGAATTACCCCGGATCGACCGGGGGCCTTCTCAGGCTCCTCGACGACAGCGAGCACGCACTTGGCCGATGCCTCTGCCCTACCCGGAGCTCCACTTACCTGGGGCCTCCGTGCCGAGGGACCCTGTGAAGCTCGGTGTGAACGCTTTGGTTCTGGTGCTTAGCTGGTTGTTTTTGGGGCAGCCTTCTGTGTGCAGGCCCGAGTTGGGTATGTGGTTGGGTGCTGAAGTTAGCCCCTCCCAGCATGCAGCGATTGACGCTCTCCGTGAGAGCGTAGCCCTTTGGAATGCCGAGCCTGAGGTGGGCCCAGCAGAGATGGGTAGGTCGGCTTCTAAAGTGGAAGGCACCGAGGACCTCCTCCGTGCGCTCAGGATGCAGCTGTCCTCTTCGCCTCCGGGTCCAGGCAGGGTTTGCGGCAAGTTGAGTTATCAGGTTCCCTGCTATGCTCGAGCGGTGGACCCGTCTCGGCTTCGCTTCGTGGGGACTCCCACTTTCGACCCGATGCCTTTCCTGGATGCTGAGACTCGTGCTTTGTACGCTCGCCCCCTGGATTATGTTTCGCCTTTGCCTGAAGGGATTACTGTTCCTCGAGTTGCAGTTCGCACAAAGCCGGGTAAGACTGTTGCTTTCCTGAAGGCGTTGGACGACACAAAGCGACTCGCTTTGGTCCCGCGCCAGGAGCTCCTGTCGGAGCAACGGAACGGCGTCTTCGCCGTGATCAAAGACGGTCAGAGGGACAGGTTAGTCCTGGACGCTCGACCGCCCAACTTGGTCGAAGGTGGCCGAGACCGGTGGGTGGGGACGCTGGGGAGCCTTGACCAGCTCCAGCATCTTCATCTTCCTCCTGGCTACATACTGAACATCTTCACTGAGGACCTCAGAGAGTTTTATCATGCGTTTGTGATCGGGGGCCAACGTCTTCATCGCAATGCCTTAGCTCTCTGCCTCCCAGGGGAAAGCCTCGCATCGATGTCAGTGTGCAGCCGTTCCATGCATGGGTTGCAGCTTGTGCCGTGCCTAGCCACGATGGCTATGGGAGACACGCATGCTGTGAATTTCGGCCAGGCCAGTCATCTGTCGCTGCTACTTCGCACTGGCAAGCTGACTATCAACGATTTCCTCATGCTAAAAGGGAGGCCGCGCAGGAGCCCTGATCTTTCCGCCGGCCTCTTGATCGATGACTTCGTTCTGCTGGAGCCGACTCCTGTCGACCGGCCCTCCTCATCGGAGCCCTCCCGTGGGGAGCAGATCATCCAGGCTGTTCGTGAGGCCTATGTTGAAGCTGAGCTCCCTCGTCATGAAGGTAAAGCTGAGTACAAGGTCACTCGCGCTAAATTTTGGGGCGGGGACCTTGACGGGGAGAAAGGGCTGCTGCGGCCGAACCCGCACCGAACCATTCCTTTAGCTCATCTTTTGCTTGGGGCTGTTGAGCTCGGCTTCAGTACTGTTGGCCTCCTCGAGACGTTCTCCGGAGGGCTTGTGTCTGCTTTTCAGGTGAGACGCCGTCTGCTCAGTGTGCTTGATGCAGTATACAAGGAGCAGCGCGGGCGCGAGCCGCGGGACATCGTCCGGGTTCGCGGGGCGCTCTGCTCGGAACTCCTTGTGGCTAGTGCGCTGCTGTGCCTTGCTGATGCTGATCTTCGAGCGCCGGGAGCGCCTGTGCTAATCTTGTCTGACGCCTCGAACCATAAGGAGGCAGCCGTTGCGGCCAGCATTCCTGAAGGGCTGTCGCTCGAGTTGACACGTCATGGTCTGCAAAAGGGGTTGTGGAGCCGCCTGCTCTCCCCTTACTCTGCTTACTTGCGCGGTAAGGGCGAGCCCGAGCCTGAGCTCCGTGAGCTTCCGGAAGAGGAGTACAAGAGCCACCCTTTGTGGGAGCACATGTGTTCTTTTCTCCCTTTTAGGCTTTGGGGTTCGGTCGTTAAGGTTTGTAAGCAGAGACACATAAACCTTGGCGAGTTGAGGGCTGCCCTTCGGGCTGAGGACCGTGCTGGCAGGATTTGGCCGGGCAGGAAGTTCCTCCAGCTCATCGATTCACAGGTAGCCGCCGCGTGTCTTGTGAAGGGGCGGAGCAGCAGCAGCGCCCTCAATTGGGAACTAAAAAGGTCTTTAGGCCCCCACTTGACCTCGCGTGTTCGTCCCTCTTATGGCTTCATCTGTTCTGCTGCGAATGTCTCTGATGACCCAACTAGAGACGTCCCAATCAGAGCTCCGGTTGGTCCAGAGCCCCCGTGGTGGAAGCGGGCCTGCGAGGGCGACTTCGCTGAGCTTGACGCCTGGCTCAACGATCGGGGGATGCACCTTGATCAAATGCGGGACATTCCTGATGTGTGCGAGCTTCTGCCGGACGCTCCACTTGACCTACCTTCCGAGGACCCGGGGAGACTGATGCGCAGGAACAAAGGTTCGGAGGCTTACGCTCAAGCCCTTCTCGAGCGCAAGGCGATTGGGGCTGCTGACCTCCTACAGCTTTTTCTCCGGCTTCCTCGCGAGGTTAGCGCCAGAGCGGTGTTCAAGGAGCGCCGGGGCATCACGTTTTCGGCTGGCATGTTCATTCATGGTGGAGTTGCAGGCCTCAGGAATACTTGCTCCGAGCATCCGCACTCGACCTCCGCTTTTTGCCGCTACATCAAGCTCTGTCACCCGGGCATAAGGTTTACGACTTTTAGTGTTTTGCAGAACTCCCCCGCGATGCCGCACGTTGATGCTTCGAACATGCTTGGCGAGCCTAACCTTGTGCTGCCGTTGTCGCGGTTTCGCGGCGGGGGATTGTGGGTCGAGTGCGAAGGCGGGTCCGTGCTGATAAAGCACAAAGGCCGGCAGATCGGTGGGGAAGTTCTCCCTGTACACTCGCAGGCGGTCGTGTTCGACCCCCATAAACTGCACTGCACGCGGCCCTGGCGGGGCCGAAGAGTCGTCCTGGTCGCTTACTGTTTGCGAGGGACGGAGCGGCTCACTGACGAGCAGAAGGCCACCCTTGAAAAGCTTGGATTTTCTTTGCCTGATGGGATACCTTCCGAAAGTCCGCCCGAAGTCGCCGCAAATCGTCGCGACGAGCCTTTTCCTCTGCATGCTGAGCAGGCTCTCGACGGTTGTCTGGGTGAGAGCTGGAAAAGCCCTGAGACCATCCGGGCTAAGTACGCCATCGATGACTTCGTACCTGATGCTGCTCCTAGCATGCTTGCTTCAACGCAGAAGCCTTTGGGTTCCCTTCGGGTTGAGCCCCCTCTCTTTCGTGCTGGCTCCCCTTCGGTTGAGCCTCCCTCTGCAGGCACCCTGTTTCAGAAAGCTTCGCACTCCTCCGTGCCCCAGGGTTGCCCTTCCATGAGTCAAATCCCTTTGGACTCCAAGACCGTCGATTTCCTCCTGAGCCTTCCTCCTGGCCGCTTTGTCTACTCCTCGTCGTTCCCGGACTTGGGAAGCGCTCTCAGGACGGGCCGGGGGTGGTTGGACTTGTTTTCGGGGTCCAGGGGTGTAGCTAAAGCCTTAGCTCGTGCCGCGCCATGTTGGATCCTCTGCTACGACACCGCTCACTCTGCGAGCGAGAACCTTCGGGATTTCGCTGTGCAAAGAGAGATTGTCTACCTGTTCGAGGCCGGGGCTTTTCTGGGTTTCTTCGCTTCTCCTGACTGTGGGAGCTTTTCGACTGCTGTTGTCCCTCCGGTGAGATCGCGGGAACATCCTGAAGGTTTGCCCCAGCTGGCGGGATGGAAGCGCGACAAGCTTCTGCAGGACAACGCGCAGCTGGAGTTTCTCGTTGATCTCGTCCGGATCTGCATCGACAAGTCGCTGCTTTACATGTTGGAGAATCCGCACAACAGCTGGATCTGGAAGCAACTTTGCTGGAGCGGCTTGCGCTCCGGTGCGGGGCCGTGGGATTTCAGCTTTGATATGTGTGTGTTCGGGACTCCGTGGCGGAAAGCTACTCGGATCCGCTCCAACGGACAGCTGCGGGGTAAAACTTTACGCTGCAGCGGGAATCACAACCATCGTGTGCTCCGAGGCAGGGACTCTGTCTCAGGTGTCAGTTGGTGCAAGCTGGCTCAGCCGTATCCGAGGCGGCTTTCTGCACTGCTTGCCAATGCGATGACGCAGGACGCTGCCCGCTGCTCTGAGAATCGTCCTCTTGACATCGTGCGGTGCGCCAAATGTTGTGGAGCAAGGTTTGGCGAAGCGCGGAACCCTGGGCCTAGACCCCGCCGCCCGCGGCAAGACTGTGTCCTTGCTCAGGTACCCTTGGTCGAGCCGGCCACCGCTGCTCTGCAGAAGAGCGTCTGGGATTCATTCGTGGTTTGGGTCAGGGATGGTGCAGGCGAAGGCTCTTCCGAGACTTTGTCTGCCCATCCTGATCTCCTTGTCGAACTTCTTACTGCTTATGGACAAGTGCTGTATTCGGGGGGAAAACCTCTTCAACATTACAGGCAGCTCCTCGCGGTGAGTCAAAGGCGAGTCCCAAAGTGCCGTGCTACAATTCGCACTGCCTGGGAAATGTTATCACGTTGGGAGCGCTTGGAGCCTACTCAGCACCGACCTCCCCTCCCTGAGCCTCTGCTGGAAGCAATGTGCAGCTTGGCGCTGGCTTGGTTTTGGCGAAGATGGGCCGGCGTTGCCCTTTTGGGGTTCTACGGGTGTTGCAGGGTCGGGGAGGTTCTAAGGGCTAGGAGGTCTGATCTCCTTTTGCCCTCAGACCTCCTTCGATCCGATGGTCGTATTTTTCTGAAAATCCGGGACCCAAAATCCCGCGGCCGTGGCCCGCGCGTCCAACACGCCACCGTCGTGCTGGGCCCGGAGTTCGTCGCTTTCTTTACGGAAGTGTTCGGTGATCTCCCTCGCAACGCCCCTCTGTTCTATGGCAGCCCATATGTATTTCGGAAGCGCTGGGATACTCTGCTCGGAGCTCTTGGCGTCGCCAGGTCCTTTAAGTTGACTCCGGGATCTCTTCGAGGAGGTGGTGCCGTCGCCTTGTACCAGGCAGGAGTTACAGTTTCCGAACTTCAATGGAAGATGCGCTTGCAACACCAAACGACTCTTGGATATTATTTGCAGGAGGTTTCGGCGGTCTCGATTTTTCCTGCCCTGCCGAAGCACGCACGTGAAGCAGTTACAGCTGCAAGGGCCGTGTTCCCTTTTCTCCTCAGCCCAGCGCACTAGTGCATTGCTCTGTGAGCTACTTTGTTGCTGTAGGCCGGGCTAGGTTGGTGGAGTTTCTGCTGCCAGCTCGAAATACGGGCTCGGCAGCTCTACCGACCAAAGCTCTTACGGAGGAAGAGCACGAAAACGAGGTCTGAGCCATACATGAGAAAGCATGTATTGCGATTGACCCGTAGCTTCTGGGCCCTCCCACCCGCCCGGAGGAGTTTCTGCTGCCAGCTCGAAATACGGGCTCGGCAGCTCTACCGACCAAAGCTCTTACGGAGGAAGAGCACGAAAACGAGGTCTGAGCCATACATGTTCATCATAATGATAATAATCATAATAATGATAATCATAACCATCATATTAATAATAACGTTTCCTCGGAGGCTTTTACATGTCCAGCCTCACACATCTAACATGTTACTTCCTGAACGTTTTGCCTGTAGGGGCCGTGAACTACAGATTTATTCAGTGTCCGAACGCCAAAATAAGCAAACTCATGTCCTTAACCCCTGAACTTCTGAACCATAGAGCCCTTGCCCAAGCTTTGAACCCCCGTCTTCCTTCGAGAGCTCAAGAAATCAGGTTTAGACTTTCTCTACAAGTTACAAGTTGAAGGGCTGTTCTACCTTGAAACAATATACAGCCCAGAAGCCTTGTTTGCAGCCCAACAGAAGACTGACCAATATTGTGTGTGCTGCACGACGCCAGCGCCCAAACTTAAACCATCCACCCCAATCCAAAATCCCGGACACCAAAACCCGCTTACAGGAGTTATGGTCCTTGCGTTTAAGAGACTTGCAATATGAGCCCTTAGATCTTTGTCGTTAAAGACTCTCCCTAAACCCCTACCTAAACTCCTAAACCCCTAAACCCCTAAACCCCTAAACCCCTAAACCCTAAACCCCTAACCCTTAACCCCTAAACCCCTAAACCCCTAAACCCTAAACCCCTAAACCCCTAAACCCTAAACCCCTAAACCCCTAAACCCCCTAGACCCCTAAACCGCCTCCAGGAGCCAGCCTGGGCCTATTGGGCTGGCCAAGCTGAGTGCCGTCCTCACAAGCGCTCTAATGTAGGAACCTGATCAAGAAACCCTGGGTCTATAAAACCAAAATATTAGGGTTCATACAGGGAACCCTGATAAAGGCCCAAGGTTTCTTAATCAGGTTCCTACATTAGAGCGTGGGGTTTCAGGCTTTGGGTTTGTGGTTTAGGGTTCCCTAAACCCTAAACCCTAGGGCCCTACTTGAAGAATCATGGGACTTAGCAAGTAGAGTTACAAGTACCTTGCTTGGGGTTGTATATAGTTATAACTACTTATAACCCCAATTACTAAGTCCCATGATCCTTTAAGTAGGGTGTTAGCGTCATTGTTGCATGGCAGGCCTTAGGTTGCTGGGTTCGGTCTTTCTTATGCCGTTGAAGGGGCCCAGGCAGAACGAGAGCGCAGACGCAGTGGCTTTTGGAACCAAGTCTCTGCAATGTGTGGCCTCAGAGCTTTTCCTTGTTCATGTTTGGTTGTTGCAGAGGATGTTGGACACGAAGAGAGCGTATACCTATATGTACATTCTTTCTGGATATACAGTTGTATACTATACATATATTCAAAAAGTTATATAGATATATGCACATGTATTACATACATACGTGGGTGGAGTGGTGCGGACAGGAGCCTCAATCCAGGATGTGCACATCTGGACCTGCTGCGTGCATGGGTACCTTTATGTATAGACATACATATAGATGTGTGTCTGTGTCTGTGTCTATGCAGGCGGATGGGTATGTGCATGCGAATGCACATGCGCATGCATATATAGGTATATGTAGGTTTAAAGGTCTATATATAGGTCTATATGTTTATAGGTTTACAGGTTTCTAGGTCTATAGGTATGTAGGTATAGAGGTTTGTAGGTATGTGGGTACATACATATACATGTACATATACATCTACATATACATGTGTATATATATATATATATATATACATGCATGGTTTTTCTCTCTGGCTGCCTGACTGCCTGCCTGGCTGTCTGTCAGTGTGTCTGTGCATGTACGTCTACATAGATATATGCATATATGTGTGTGTACGTATACAGGTATATATGTATATGTATATGCATATGCATATGTATATGCATATGTATATGTATATGTGTAAGTGTATGTACGTATATATGTATCTGTGTGTGCGCCCACCCCTGTTTCACAGGGTTTGCACGTGGTCGCGGCGTGATCTGGGGACAGGTCCGGGAGCAAAGGTCCGGGGGGGGTTCCGCTAATGAGGCCCAGCCCGCGTAGAAAGTGCCCCGAAACCCAACGAAGTACTGCTCGTGGGCTACATAACCTGATACCTCAACAGCCCTCGGGAAGCAGCCTAAACTCCTACATGTCCGGCTGAAAACGTGACAATTGTGGTTACAGTCTCCTGTGGCCGTCAACCCCTTCAAAAGCCCACCTTTGGAATATGGGTTGCTCTACGACTCTACATTGCGCTATGCTTTCGAAATGGGTTATATACGATCTTGCTTTGGTTTCATGTAGTGTACGTCAGGTGATGTCGGGTTTGGTCCGTCAGCATGTCACTGTGGCCGGGTCGACCGACAGGTGCGTCCAGGCCGTTCAAGTTCTACGTGGAGCCGCCAGAGAAGAGGCTATAAAGGGTCATTGTTGTTTGGTGTAGGGCCTTGTACGAAGGCTAATTTAAACCCTACAGTAAACCTTTTGCTCGACTTGAGTAAAGCCTGAACTTCGACCTCAAATCCTAGCCAGTTTGGATCCGTTAGTCTGGAAACCCTCATCTCATAACCCAAAACCCAAACTTGCAAGTCGGATTCCCCAACCTCTCAAGTCCACCGCAAAGCCCCTGCAGAAACAAGTCGATGCCCATACTATAGGCGCCTAAACAATTACCAATAATTACTATTTGTTGGCTCCTTAGTGGGCCCCAAAACCTTATTCTAAATATTAAGGCCCCTATATTATTCATAAAGCTTTTCCATTTCGGGAGAGGAAGACATATTTCTCAGCCGCGGTTAGTTCAAGAGGGGTCAGGGCATGCTGCTGGTGGACAAACTCCTGCATCAATCATGAGAGGTATGGTATATAGTAAACCCAAAAAAGTTGGAAACCGGATTAAGGCCAAATAGTGCTGGGATTCCCTACACATTAAATTACTCTTAAGGATTGAGGCTCTTGGGTTTCCAACTTTTGGGCTTCTACTGTATCCCCACCCGTTACAAGATTTGGTCCATTCGCAGTACGAAGTTCGGGTTGCTTGCGATCACGGACGTGACGGCCGGTTTCGGCCGCACCCTTCATGGTTCACCTACTTAAAGGATCATGGGACATAGTAAATAGGTTATAACTGGGGTTATAAGTCCCCTAAGTGGGGTTATCCTAATGATAACCTACTTATAACCTTACTTACTAAGTCCCATGAGCCTTCAAGTAAAGCCACAGTCGGCATTTGCTTCGGGTGGAGGACAAGTGCTGGGTGCCATTGGTGAGATCAGAACAAGGGACACTTAACAGTCCCCGATACAACGTGTATGTGTGTGTATATACCCTGAACCCTAAACCCTAAACTCCATATATATCCTCATCTATATCCAGGTTTCAATCGCAGTAAAGTCTTTAATTCTGGACACCAACCTCTTGCCGCTGTCACTTCTTCTCCAGGCAGAGAACATCGAAGCTGTTTTTGGGTAATGCCCCCACTCCGTAACAGTTGGTAATATTCATAATAACATCTAGTACTGTAGGACCTTTATAGTAGCCCTATTATGGACTGTTACAGTATGGGGGCAGTACCCAATCGAAACTACTCGCGAAACCCTTTCCAAGCACCGTAAACCCGATGAAGCCCCGAATCCTCCACCACTAAAGCCTAAAAGTGACTTCAGCCTATAGAACCCAGACCCCAAACGCAGGCACCCAAAAACGACCCTAGCTCTGAACCCTCAACTGTAAACCCGCGGAGCCCGAAACATAAGCCGCTCCACAGGAAAAACGGTGCAGAGGGTGCTCGCCTCAGCTTCCCTGGTGTGGGGTTTAGGTGTATGTATCACGGGTTTCGGGGTTTAAGATTTGGGGGTGTGCAGTGCGGTTTAGGTTTAGCGTTTAAGCATTAAGGTTCAGAGAGTGGGGTTTAGGGCAAGGGTGTTCAAGATTTTGGGTTTCCGGGCTACCTGAACTCCCCCAAAGTTGGGGGTTTGGCTGTACTCCCGCAAAGCCGACTACCCGCTAATGAGATCCCTACCCTAAGCCTTAAGCCCTGCAACGCTATATAATACCGCTGCAGTTCAGATTCCTCAACTGTTTTAAAAAGCCCTATATATACTCGAACCTAAACCCTTAAGCCCAAACCGCTAAACCCTAGATCTTGAACCCTGAACCTCTAAGCACTGGACCCCAAACCCCCAAACCCTCCACTCCAATCATAGTTGGCACAGTTAGTGCGCAGTTGTGCTTTCAGATTCCCAGTCCACATATGGTCATGTGCGAGTGTGGCCATGTCCAGGGTGCGGTTGGCTTGAGACTCCCAGGAGGGAGCCGTCAGGATGCAGTTGCAGTCCCACCGCCCTGCACCGGCGGGTATACGAACACAGGATACACTGTCTTGGGCGTTCCTGATCTGCACCCTACGCCTGTCTTCTTGGGTGCCTCTACCGTGGATCGTCGCAGCAAACCAAGATGCCTGGTGGCTCGGCTGGACTCTGAGATCCTCCTTGGAGGGGCAGGGGACTTAGTAAGTAGCTTATAAGTAGAGTTACAAGTACCCTAAATGGAGCTACCCCAAGTATAACCCTAAGCGACTTACTAAGTCCCCTGCCCCTCCAAGTACGGGAGGTTTGACGAATGGCCAGCGTGGGCCTGTTTCCTTGCCTGTAGCTCAGGTGAGTGGGACCTTGCCACAGAACTTTCGTGTCGGAACGGCTAGATAATATACGGGCCTTAATAATTACCAACACTGTTTTGGGGGTTCCTTATCATGATTATAGTATACTGGGCCCCAACTCCCCATTGTAATTATCAAGGCCCCTGTAGTAGAGGCCTTATCAGCATTAATTTGCCACGTAGGGCCCCTAGCGCAGCCAACGTCGCAGCAGCTCAATTTTCTTGCTGGGATCAGTTTCGGGTTTAGGCTCGGGTTTAGGGTGGGTTCAGGGGTTAGGGCAGTTTAGGGTGCAAGGTTCAGGGTTTGGGTTCAGGGTTTAGGGTTCAGGGCATACGGTTTAAGATTTCAGGAGATGTAGCTAAGTGCAGTCATGGGGACCTGGGTCAGGGTTCCAGGGTTTGGGACCTTGCTTGCAATCCTACTTGTAACCCGAAGCACTAAGTAACCCTTGAACCTCCAAGCCCGTACCTTTGACGAAGCGTCGTGCCACGGCAGGAAGCAAACCGTCGTCCACTCGGAGGGACGGTGGGGGGGGGGGGGGGTGCTAGGAGCGGGTCCAGGTTTAGTGAATCCCTAAATGGGAGTTTCCGAAAATAGGGGACCCTAATATGGTACCCTAAATAGTAGGATCCTTATTATAAGGACCCCAAAATAAGGCACTCCTCATTTTCGGAAACTCCCAAATCTTAAATCCTCAACCTTGAAGTCGAAAAACCCCGTCGAAGTCCTTGGCCCTATACCCTCCCCCAAACTGCACATCGTCCTCGCTCGTTCTGAAGCCTGCTCCTCACATCTTACCTTTGGTTAGTAGGGAATGGAAGAATGGTAGTAATAGTAGTTATAATTGTACCCTCCCATTCCTCCATTCCCAAGGTAAAACATGGGTTCAGGGTGTAAGGTTTAGTGGTGATTGACTTTCCAGCATGCACAAGTTTCGATTTAGGATCAGCGCTTGGCTTGTCAAAGTACCGAACCAGAACCCTACTTGGAGGATCATGGGACTTAGTAAATAGGGTTATAAGTATCTTACTTAGGGTTATAAGTAGTTATAGCTGTAGTTACCTTACTTATAACCCCAAATACTAAGTCCCATGATCCTTTAAGTAGATCCCATAGCCTACCTCCGGAAGCCGAAACCATGCTCGAAAACCCAAACTGTAGACTTCGAACCGTTCAACCATCACCCCTATTTCGTCCCCGCCCACCCCCGGCTTTACTCAAACGGTTTCAGAACCTGAGGCTCAGAAGTATAGTTTGGTCTTCTGATTCCACGGCCCTAGATTGCAGGCCCTTGCATGAGGTGACCCTGTTCTAGAACCTTGCAGTTCCCTGTACGGTACCCTTTAGAGGTTTGAACGACGCATTGCGTCCCTCACCGAAGGGTACAGTCGGAGTCAGACTCCTCATCACTCTGTGTCCCGAAGCCCTGCCCAGAGACTCCAGTATCCCTTAATTAAGGCATATACGTACCTTGCCTCATATTAGGGATCCTACTATAACTTCAGGTATATTCCTTAAATTAAGGGATATGCCTAGTCCCGCAGCATCCCAGAGCTGCTGTGAAGGGTTTAGAGTTGGGGGGCATTCCCTTCCTCAGGTTCCCCTTGCTTCCTTGCATCACGTCAAAAGGATCATTCTCATCAAGCTGGTTAGCCAAAAAATTGTAGGTTATGCTCAAGACCTCAATCTAGAGCCCTTTCATACTAGCATGTGGTAGGAGTCACGGGAAATGCCTTCAACCAAAACCCTGTGCCTGCTCGCGGATTTGGGCTCAGTTCGGGGCAGGGCGCCGCAGCGCGTCCGCAGCTCGTCGTTTGTGCGGTCTAACCTTCTCCGTGGCGGTGGCTTGCGGCGGCTACCAGTAGCATGAAAATCATTTCCAGATCTTATGGGTTTGGGGTATAGAAATAGACTATGCAGAAACCATCAAAGAAAACACACGGCTCACACCTGCAATTTTAGCAGCTCCACTGCAAGAGCGCTGCCGCCTGTCACCTTACATATCGTGATCGTCCACAGTGCACCTGTCTCTGGAGGAGGCCTGGTGCCGATTTAGGATCCATAAAGAGTTAGCTGTCTTTCTGAATCAGGGCTTTGGGTCAGCACCCCAGACCCTCTCCCCCTGAGCCTTAGGTATCCTTAGGTATATAAGCCTGCCCCACTCACTGCCCTTCGGCAACAACGGCCATGGGGTTCAAGTGCTTTGGGTGTGGGCGGCAGAGGCACTTTTTGTTTGCTACTTGTAGATGTTATAAACACGCCCAGAAGTATCAGCAAGATCAAAGTTGCATTTCTCTGACGCCCGAGACATCAGATCTTGCAAACGTTACATCTGGTGAGTGCCAAGTCAGGGTGACAGTCAAAAGCTTCACATAGTGATGCGGGCTCGGCAACCAACTCAGCTTCTTACAGCAAAACATATGTTAGAATAGGTAGTACCGTTGCCCAACTGGTGAAGCAAGCACAAGCGCAGCAGTAACCACGACCAGAAACCCCGCCAGCTACTGGAAGTAGACACTGTATCAGTCGTCACCAGTGTTACAGATATTTGTGCATTCATGCCGAAGTTGGATTTGTAAGCAGCATCGTCTAGGTAAATATCATCGCAAGAGCTAGTGCTTAAATAAAGGGATTCAAACCCTTAAGCCCTAAAACCTCCCGGGACGTGGCATAAGAGATCGAACCTTCGGTTGGGAATGTGTGTGTAGGGCACATTTCCCGAATTTTTACTGTATGCTCATTTTCAAAAGGGACCCCACTAGACCCATATACTGTGAACATCTATATGGTATACGAACCTTAAGCCAATGCAAAGTGCACGCGTGATACTCCCGAACATTTGACTGACGCGGTCCAGTCCAAGCCGAAATGCACTTCTTTAATTTAGCAAGCAAAGGGTTAGGGGCCCTTTAAAGGGCTCTATAAGGGTACTATACTGTCTGGCTCTTAGTAGGGAATGGGGGGAAGTATATGACAACAGTAGCGCGCAACTAACCATTGCTATTGGCGGAGCTCAGGAGCCAGGGATGATGACCATTCCTCTTAGATAAATAAGGAGCTAAAGAGTCAAGGGAACCCCCCAAACCACTGGTTAGACAAGTGTAGTTGTTTTTTGGAACCTGAGGGCGCCGGGACCAGCGATTAAGGACGGCTAGGGGTTTAGTGTTTGGCGCTTCTTGATTGGAAGGTTGGGTTTCTGACCTAGGACTGAAGCATAGTCCCTAATGTAGGAACCTGATTAAGAAACCCTGGTCCTATAACCCCAAAATAGTAGGTTTCATAATATAAGGAACCCTAGTAAAGGCCCAAGGTTTCTTAATCAGGTTCCCACATTAGTCCCTGTAGAACTTTAGTATGATCTAGCTCGAAATCCTATTCAATCTATTCGGCTACCATATAATTGGCCACCCTAAACCCTAAACTCGAATTCTCAAACCGTGAACCCCGTAACTTTTGAGCTCCTATATAGTACAACTTCCTACATCCCCGAACCCTAGTCCGAGCCGTCAGGCCTCTCTGAAGACCGAGATCTCTGAACCCCAAACCCCTAAACCCTAAACCCCTAAACCCCTAATCCCCTAAACCCTGAACCCCTAAACCCCTAAACCCCTAACCCCAAACTCGTAATCCCAAACCACCCCAAACTCGCACCCCCCAAAACCCTAGAATCCGAAACCCCAGGCTGGCAACCCCCAAACCAAGAACTCCATGCTACCCATGCCATTACATAAAGGATCATGGGACTTCGAAATTGGGGTCCTTAAGGGGTCCCTTTAAGGGATCTATAGGGGTACTATAAGGGTTTAGGGTTTAGGGTCGACTTAAAGGATCATGGGACTTAGTAATTGGGGTGTTCTAGGTAAGGGAACTACAGCTATAACTACTCATAAGCCCAATTCAGGGGCTTATAACCCTACTTACTAAGTCCCACGATCCTTCAAGTACCGCCTGTAGGTCATGAGGCTCTTCATTGCTTTTCTACTCGCAGGGGCCTGAGCTTTTGCAACCAAGTTTTCTTAGGAAAGGCTTCAATGTAGCAGTCTGAATAAGTGCCCTATAATGGTTCTGCCATGATGGTATTCTGAACCATGGGTTGAATATCGGTGCTCCTGGGGAATCACCAATGATTGTCTTTCTAGTATATATAGCTTGAACACATCAGTGCATCTTTTACTTTGAGCTCGAAGGGGCCCTGAACCCCCAAAACACTAAACCTCAGGGCTTTGGGATGTTTGACGCTTTGTGTTCGGAATTTCGGTATCTACCTACGACCGGCCGTACCTCCAAGGACCGGGAGCCCGGGTTATCGGGATGGAAGTGGTTTCAGGTGGAGGGTTTCCTTACTAACGGTTTCGGGTTCCCCATCTGGGGGATTATGGAAACGTGGGTTTAGGTTCAGGGTTTCCTTACCCTTTAGGGTTCTTCATGTGGGAATTTGTAGAGTGCTGTTTGGTTGCTATCCTACTCCCCGAACATCCAAAAGCTCTGCACCTCGCAGGCAGAGAAGACTTGATCTTTACTTGGGTTTGTGCTCCTGAGTGCTTTGGGGGGCCGGGTGTGCTGTGTTCCAACTTTATTAGATGTGAGCGGAGGAACACTAAAACGAAGTAGGAGGCGGTGTATGATTGCATAGCCTACCACCGCCCGATGGAGAGGATTTTCGTTCACCGACACTTGCCGAAAAAAGTGCAATTCAACTGTTGTGTGGCAGCCTGGCAGGGCTTGGCTCGGTGTCATGTCATGTGGCCGAAGCGAATCCAACATCATTGCGTCCATGGAGGTATGGTTCGGCAGAAGGAGGTCCATCCTGCGGCCGCTGTGGAGTCTGATGTGCAGGAGTTCAAAACCTTGCAGGCCACGCTGCAGACCCGCTTCTCCAAGATTCAGGAGCCAGCAGGTGCCGCAAAGCCTACCTTTGGTTAGTAGGGAATGGAGGAATGGGGTACAACTGTAACTACTATTACTACCCTATTACTACCATTTTCCTAGCATATTACTACCATATTACTATCATATTACTACCATATAACTACTATTACTACCATTCTTCCATTCCCTACTAACCCAAGGTAAGAAAGGGCATTGGAGAAGGCGAAGGCCGAGGCCGAGAGGGCGGAACAGTCACGGCTGGGAAAGCTGAGGCTCCCTACTTGGAGGATCGTGGGACTTAGTAAGTAGGGTTATAAGTACCTTAATTGGGGTTATAAGCAATTATAACTGCAGTTACATTACTTATAACCCCAGTTACTAAGTCCCATGATCCTTTAAGTAGTCTGAGGCCCGGTCTAAGGTGTCGGGACGCTTACTTAAAGGACAATGGGACTTCGTAATTGGTGTCCATAAGGGGTCCCTTTAAGGGATCTATAGGGGTACCAAGGGTTTAGGGTTTAGGGTCTACTTAAAGGATCATGGGACTTAGTAACTGGGGTTATAAGTAATGTAACTACAGTTACAATTGCTTATAACCCCAATTAAGGTACTTATAACCCTACTTACTAAGTCCCA